CTCATTTCAGCTGTTACTCTGCTGACATTCTGCATTGCAGTATAATTAGACTTACCGCGATGGTTTTAAACCTGAGAAGTACAAACTTAGCTGATCCCTGTTCCTGTTGATCACTCTTCACCTGTAGCTGAAGTATCACAGGAGCTGTCTGTACAGAGTAGCAGCTAATGATGGAATCCCAGGTCTCCTTCACATCCATATAAGATATGGGAGACACTGCCTAAATGCTGTATTGGTGTCATTGTATGTTTGTATTCCTCACAGGCAAGTTTCAGACATAGGACTCCTTGTTTTCCAGATTAACAAATGTTCTTTCCTTTACATGGTCATTCAAGCTGCTCGTCTCAGGGCAGCTTCCTGGGGAGCACGTTCAGCGAGGAGGGCTGAGTTCATGGTTAGGGAGCAATAGGTATTACAGCTCTCTGCAGGAGCCAAAGGGTTTGCTGTGGGGTGGAGGGCAGAGGGGCTGCTGTAGTTAAAAGCTGGGCTACTCTTTTCCACTGAGCACGGCTGGGGTCATCCCTTCAGTCTCAGGATGGTTGGGGGGGTGCTCAAAAAGGGGCTTGAAAATGAAAGCTGCTGCTATTGCTTCAGAGTAGCAATTGGGCAGTCCTTCCCTGGCATGCTGTTGTCTTGTTCGCTGTCAGACACAGTGGTCACAGACGCTTTGTTTTGCTGCACGCTTCCTTGGAGCAATCTTTGCCTAACTGGGGATTTTGCACTTGGTAGTCTGGGAAGACTCTGGGCTGGGGCGCTCCCTGGCCCTGTAGCTCAGGAGCGACGGCCTGTGGCTTTGGGTGCAAGTGGCCTCTGACTATTTCAAGTGCAGCATCCAAATCTCAGCACTGCCGCGTGAGCAGCGGTGGGGCTGGGTTAGAGTCCTTGCAGCTATAAAGAAGCAAAGGCTGCTGGGGCTGGAAATGCCAGGGCCTTCCGGTGCCTGCCTGCCTCGTCCTGTGGGCAGCCACTTGTTTCCTAAAGAGCCGCCGCCATCGCCTGCCTTTCAGCTGCTCCTGGAGCACCTCTCGCCTTCAGCTCTCACCCCTTCAGAGCTTTGGACCAGGATGGGTAAGCAAATACAAAACAGACTCCAGCACAGCCTTAAAACGTCCACCGGACTCAAGTTCACCAGCATCATCCGTAGCTGGTTTTGAGACTTACCACATGACAGCTGCCTTTCTTTTGACCAGTGCCCTGCCTGACCAGAAGTCGCTTCAAACGATGGTCTGCTCTGAAGGATGGTGTCTCCAACAAAACGTCAGTTCTCTGATTCTATCCCATGGTTTGGCTACTGGATGTGGACTTGAAAATCTAAGATTGTGTCAAGGCCAAGGCGGCTGGTAATTATCCAGTTCCAAAATTATTAGAGCAATAAAAGGATTAATGAAGTTTTTAAAATCATCAATTCTGATCTATTCTGCAAATTGCTTTTAACGCTTCCTAAATTCCCTGTCTATTCTCTCTTTTTTTGCTTTTTTTCTTTCCTTTGTGGTTTAGGAGCAATTTGCTCCTACACCAAAGTGTAAATGTCTGCCTTTGACAGAAGGAAACTGCTGATCTGGTGCATACATTTCAGCAGTGGATGATTTTGATTCACTAGAGCTTCGAGCAATGATGACAGATGTTAGCTCCTGCAACAGAGACGCTGCATAAAGCTGTTCTGAAACAGCCGTCAGATCTATACGCTTGCTAATCAAGTCACAGTGAAAGTGCTAAACTTCTCACTCCTGAAGTGTATCAGGTTTGGTGCTAGACTTCTAATTGAATCACCGACTGACATTTTTTGCATTCACTTAGGCCTTTATAGTACAAGACGCTGCAAGGTAAAAAGATTTTGTGGATTGCTTCTGGAAGGGGAAATAGACAGTGAATATTGCTATTTTGTATTGCCATGACCATGAGTAAAGCTGAGGATCCCTGATTCTCACTATGAGACTTCATATGGAGCTGAAAGCTGTTTTTATGATGTTTAGTATATACATATAAAAGAATAGTGCATCAAAGTATTTCTTGATATTTGTTGATTTTAAGTATGTTTCAGATCTGCTTGTTTAGGAGGCAGGTATTCCTGAGTGCTGTCAGCAGGGCTAGTCTCCGATGGACAGAGCACCAACAGGCGTCACACTCATACCCAGTTGTTATCAAAATTCTCAGTGTACATGCCAACAAAACATACCAATTTTTACCAGTGTACTGAACTACAATCATATTTTTGGTGCCAGTATAGCTGGAGCATTGGCCACCCAAGTCTCCTGCACTTTGCACTGTTCTACTTCTTCCCTCCAGAGCTCTGATCCCAATGGAGTTTCTGCTCCAGCAGAGGAAAGCAGCGTTTCTGAAGGGCAGTGACAGGGAGAAGGTCCAATGTCCTGGAGTAAGGAGGGGTGGCACCGCCCGTTCTGCCCTCCCCAGAAAGTCACAGCTCGGTAGCATCACTGCACATACAAGGGTGATAACTCAACCCTTAACAGCAGGTTCTCTGCATTGCTGGGGTTCTCCAGCACCACAGGTTTCCCCTGGATCAAGTGTGGGCACATAATCATTTTTCTGTCAAATTAGCCAAGGCATGGGATGATGATGTTTATGCCAGCTTTATGCTTTTATGTTGGCTTTACGCTGGCTCTGGGAGGAAAGATGTTATCTGACCTGGCAGAAAAGTGTGAGCTGTAGAGGCAGTGATACCTCATCTGGCATAAAACCTGTCAGTACAAAATTAAGTCATCATTTTTCTTTATTTGAATTGGCAGTGTGAGTTCATTCTGGATCAGCACTTTCATCATGTGTCTGGCAACATTTCTGACGGAGTATTAACAGCCCTAAAGCGGGATTTACTGTGTTGTGGGACCACAAACTTACTGTTTGAGCTTACTCTGATAAAAAGGCAGGGAGCTACTGGGTGGCGGTTTTTACCAGGTTTCAGAATGCTCCTACCCACAGCAATTTTCTAGTTAGGAACAATTTCCTCCCCCACGAAAAAACCACTCTCAAAATTCCCATCTAACCAATAAACCCCACCCCAATACAGAAAATCCATGGATTAAAGGTTCATACGTAACTTTTGACACACTCCCCCAAACCAAACCTTTTGTGTACACAGGAAAAAGAATCCTTTTGTGGTGTAGAAAGTCAACATGGCATAAATCACTATTTTGTTTGTTCTGCTGCTAGACATGCTGAACAAGAAACCACCACCAGACCTGTGAAATTCTCCCATTAATCCTACAGGAGTGATTACGTCCAATACTCTTGGGACCATGAAAAAATGCTTAAACATATTCCACTGACTAAAATGTAATCTTTTCCTAGTTGCAGTAAGAATGGTGTTATGCACTAGCTCGAATACTTGAATTAAATGACTTACTACGTAACTTTTACTTTTCTCTGACTCATTTTCAAAAAATGATTTGAAAATAGAGTGGCTTAAAAACATAACATAGCTTCCAAAGAATAGAAGGCACTGCCTAGAAGTTTAGTCTTTCAATGCTTCTGTTTGCTAATGAATCCTTGGAGTAAACAAGCAGTCTTTTACCCACAGTTTCTGCAAAGCACTTGCCTTTTGTTTCAGACCCAGTACACTCGGCTGAATGAGGTAATGCCTACATCTCCCAGGCCAGGAATGTATTCAGATTGGGCAGAAACAGGGTAGGAGGATAAAACCTGCTCTTTGGTAAACACAGGGTGAACTTCAGCTCAGCTTCCAGATTGCTGTGCTCAGAGGAAAGAATTAGGACTGCTTGTCTGAACACAAAAAAATCACTTCATCAGTTTAGCAACCGATTTAAAGCTTCACACAGGTGCCCTCAAATGCATTCAAAATACATTATGTATACATAAATCGTGTTTTAAATTAAGAGTGTCTTGTGACAAAACTGCATCAATTAATTGAGTCAGTTAAACACTACTCTGTCCTCAATACAAATACTGTTTTTAAATTCACTCATTTAGAAGCAGGTGCTAAAGCAGGTTTCCTGAGGTAGAGGCTGAAAGGACCCTGGTTCAGCCTGGACTGAGCTACAGCAACCCTCTGAAAAATAAAAAAGAACCCCTCTGCACAGCTATCATGAAAACACAGATCTGTTTCACCAAAGAAAGCTCCTCTGCATTCCTGACGCGATGTTAGAGATCAGAATAATTTTCTTTAGACATCAAAGTAGACAAGCACAATTTTTGGAAGTACATTAAATAGTATTTATTGAGTTTGCAATTTCAGGGGCAAAGCTATAATCTCAGTCCCAGCTATTCACACACTGTGGCACTGAGCCCTCATGCTCTTTCACCCATTCAACAAATGAACAATAACATGGAACATCATAAAGAAGGGGTTTGAAAAAAAAAACCCTATAGTCTCAGTTTTGAAAACAGGAAACAAACTGAAATCTTGTTCTCTTTCACAAATACATTTGCCTTCTTGATTAAACATAGTATGTTTTTACGGAAGAACAGACTCGTCCTCCTTATGTTTGGGAGAAAGCATGGGATGGTGATCTGAAAGAAAGTAAAACTATGGAGAGCACTGAGAGCTTTTCCATATGAGCACAGTGACAGCTGGATGGTCAATGCAGACTTCAGACTGCAAAGAATTCCTCACAAGACGGAGGGATGCTACGAAATATCCAGTTGGGAAGTGCCCCTCTTCTTAGGAAGCCTTTTTGTCTGGGACTGACTCTGTGGGTGCATATGGTCAACAAACCATCAAAAGCCTGCCTGTAAAATCTTATGGCAGAGGTTGTTTTCATTTTCAGCATGGTGACCCTTCTGCATAGTAAAAAAAGGCATCACACAATATACACAGATCCATATTTACAGAATAAATGGCAAAAGAGGAAATTAGATACAGTGACATTTATGTCCAGGCATTAACAAACAAGATCCCTTGTGTTGATTCAGGGGTTATTCACAGTTCGTTTAAGCAAGTCCTTTTCTCTGCACATGGGTTCTCTTGTTTTGCAAGTGAGAGCCAGCGGGATGTCTCACCGTAAGAAACAGATGCTTGCTCTCCCTTAAACCATGGTCATGACCTTCAGAGAGGCAGGTTGGAACCTCCTAATCTTCTTCTTTAGTGCCTTTGAAGCTTTGATGCGACAGATTTTGGGCACTGGGGGAAGAGGCTTCGAAGAGGCCTGGACAGTCCCCGATTGCCTGACCGAACCTTCAGGCCAAATCAGCTCACTTTCATCCCCCTCGTCGTAGTCAAGGGCAAGGCTGCTACTGTTACTGCTGCCACCCGAATCGCTTTCACTGGACTCACTGTCCCCGAAACGGTTCGTCGTGAAATCGCTGACCTCCCCTTCGCTGGTCTCTGCGATGGTGGAGTGAAAGAGGGAAGCGCACTCTGCAGAGTACTCGGAGTGGTCCGACTCGCTTTTGGCGTAAGCTCCGTGGCGCTGACTCTTGGAGCGAGCCCTCACACTGACGGTGCGCAGGACACCAGCTCTCCTTGCTGGCTGCCTTGGCGCTCCCAGGCCAAAGCTACTAGAGAGGCTGGTCAGCTGGGCCTTGGTGGAGATCTCCACTGTGGACTGCCACTTGCGCTGCTTCTTCTTGTTGGCTGTGTCTACGCAGGCTGCTTCGAGGGAATACAGTGCATTGGCAGAGGCTCTGTAGAGCTCTGGCCTGGATGGCACGCTGGGGAGCCCGACCTGCACGGGGAACAGGCTAGACTCCGAGCACGACCTGCCAGTCACATCACCAGAATACGAAGGTCTCCGCACCAGGCTCTTTGCTCCGTGTGGTCTTTCGGGCTGATTCCACTCAGCAGGCAGCCTGGCAGCCCCATGGGACCCTCTCGCCTTCTCCATGCAAAAGGCTTGCTTCCCAGGCCGTAGTACCTTTTCACTGTTCCTCCTCTTTATCTTCACTGCCTTTGTTTTGGAGCTGGCAAACTTGACCCGGACTTGGTGGGATTCTGCAGGGACGAAGTGAGCATGAACGAAGTCACTCCGTGCCACTCGCTCATGACACCCGGCGTTCGCCAATTTGGCATTGCCACACCTTTTGAGGGGCAGCTTTCTGGGTGGGATGGCTTTAGCCTTCCAGGTGCCCGGGCTGGAGTCCTCCTGGCACAGCTGCGAGCAGGGTGAACTGCGCTCCACACTGCTGTCCGATGCTTCTGCCAGAGGAGAGCCCCTGGCTGCTGACTTGGCAGGGTAACAACTATTCACAGCTGATGGCTCTGTGTCAGGCCGAGCGGATGGCTGTTCTTCAGTCACACAGCGCATGGTCTCCTGCTGCTTGGCACATTCCCCCTCTGGCACCTCTCTCTGCAGCTTCCCTTCAGCTTTGTTACTTTCCAGAGAACTCGCTTGTTTTTCCAGCTGGCTACTGCTGCTGTTAATTTTCACTCCACCGGCGCTGGGGGTTATAATGAGTCTCTGGTGCATTGTGGCTGGCTGGCTCTTTGTTGAAACCCACTCACTGGCATCAGCCCGATTGTTCCCTTTGCATCTCGTCAGCTGCAGTAATTTATTGATGTAACCCCCTGGCTTGGCCTCAGTGGTTGGGCTAGTCCTAATCAAGCTGGGACCTGTCGCACTAGGCATGGGTTTGCTGGGAGGAGCCTGGGGATCTGCTTCTGGGGATGCCCCCACCAGGGAGAAAAGGGGACTTTGTAAAGCCACCGCATGAAGGGGGCTTGGGTAAGGATACACATCAATGCCATTCTTGGAGACCAAGTCATTCTGGAATTTGGGGTCCACGCTGAGCAAGTGCTTGTCTCCGGCATGGCACAGAGGCATGGATTTGGGATCTGTCTCTTTCTGAAATCTAGGGTCTGCTGGAATGAGTCTTTCCAAGTCACCTACACAGTGGATGAAAATAAATAACCTGATTAAATCACAGACAATTACATTCAATCTGGCTTATGCTAAAAGTGCTATTTCAGAGGGATGTGCTAGCTTTTACTAAAATCAGTAGCATGAATGAAGAAAATAGTTTCAGTCCTCCAAGACCACTGATTTACTTTAAGGCTTTTATTCACCTGAGCATAATGGAGATTAGAATGCCTTTTAATGCCAGTAATAAAACTCATGCCTTTGCAGCAAATTTAAACTGTGCTACTTGGATGAAAGTAAATCTGTGCACATATAAAAATGTTCTAGAATGTCACAGACTAACCAACTAAACAAAAACAAGGGATTATTTTTATTTCTTAGCAGAGATAAAAAGTGAATCCAACAACCAGAAAGCCTGAAGCTGAATGTCATGTAAAATTATCCGAGACAACAGATATAGTTTTTGAACACTTTCCCCCCCCGACAGGATAAAGACTTCCTCTGGATATATGACAATAACTCAGAAATTCCTGAAATTTCCAGCATGCCGTCAATGGTATTTTTTTTTAAAGTGGTTACATTTAAATTCCAGCTTTTCCTCCAACCCTTTTATATCACGTGTCTTGGAAAAATCTGTAGTACTCAACCAGCTGCTTCAAGAGGACTTAAGCAGACAGTAGGTTATAGTGTTTCTTAACCTCTTAAATGCTGGAAGCTGTAGTTGTTTATTCTTTTGCATTTTGCTTTAGTAAGGCATTAGTAAACAGAAGCACTCAACGCACATGGGACAGCCATTAAGACTCGCATGTCCCATAGGCCAGAGAGTGACGTGGTTCTACTTTTCCTTAACCCCAAATCCAATGAAACCTCCTAACTGGATCTCTCATTTCATTTGATAACAACATTACCAGTCTCACGCCTTTCTGAAGTAAGTAACTTCTCAGAGTATTCAATTCCAGACAGAAATATTCAGGGGTTTTATTAAAAGGCAGAAAAATCTGGGGTTTTTAAAAGTCAACCTTAAGGATGTAGAAGAATGGACTAAAGAACCGTTACTTTGACAGAGAAAAAAAATCTAAGGGTAACTACATCTAAGGCAGATGGGAGGCTCAGTCTCTGAAGATGGCATTTATGGCCACCAATTCAGATCTCTTAAATTTTGGAGCACTGTCAAGGTTGCTGTAAGTTACACTTGACTGCTGCACCTTCCTCTCAGGAGCATCTCCTGTGTGCTGAGAGGACAGGCTGTGTTCTTGTGTGAAGCAAGACTATTCCATCCAGACAAGTCATCCGATAGAGTGCTATGGTGCTGTGTTACCTCTGGCACCAGGAGTACTGGAACCACCTGCAGTTAGCTTGGATTTCTCTGCACAGCAGTGCAGACTTCAGTGCCAGCAAATCTTCAGCTAACTGATTTCCTGGCTGCTTCATGCTACCAGGAAACCCAACCATCAAATCCAACCACATATTTCACTTACAGTGACTATTTCTGTCCTGTGCCAGGAAGCTTTTGAAAGACTTCAAAATTTGGCGTTGTCTGCAGTGTCCTACCTAAGGCACTTACAGACCTGCTACAGCAAAGGTTAGGATGATGATTTCTCAAACAACATATTTTTATAATGAAAATTCATTAGGAAATTGTTGGCAGTGTGTAGTGGTGCTCTCTTGTGCAAACAAACCAAAAAAGAATGCTGTGCTTGTGATGTCTCAGCAAGCTTTCCGCTTGCCATTGAAAGAAAAGGCAATCCGTTTGTACCTGCAGGTTTGTACCTGTGGTAAGGTATATATAAGGATTATCATACTCATTTTACAACAGATTGAGAAAACAAGCACTAAGTCTGGAAGTGTCTCTCCTTAGATTTCTGTAAAAGGAGAGGAAAAGGAGAAATTTCTTCCCCTCTCCAAATGATGCTTTTCTGAAATAACATCTTGCCTCACTTTCTGCAATGTGGTCAACTTTGCGAGAATTGTTTCAAGACTACACCCACAACTACCCCACTACTTACGTTTCTCACACTGAAGGAAGTAAGAGGCAGAAAGAAGGGATGTGGTGGTGGAAAAAGGAAGGAGGGCTGAAGGAGGTCTGTAGCCTCACTCCTGCACCCCTATTTAAACACCAGCTATCCCTTTTTCTACTAGTCTATCTCCATACCCAAAAAATCATAAAGCCCCTGGGGTCTTTAGCAAAATGTTGCAAGGCAGGAAAGTTTCTGATAGAACAAGAAGTCTGTAATCTTAACATGGAAACCATGGATCTTCAAGCTCAGCTCCATCCCCAGCCTCTGAGAAGCCTTGAGAAGTCTTTGCTTTTATGCTATAATTTACCACCACCGCTTCAGGTGTGTCTGCGCAGATAGGTACAGAACAGGTGGTCTTTGCTTCTGCTCCAAGCAAGCCAGAGGTGAGCTAGCTCAGGTCAAGAAGCTGTGGGAATGACTCCAGAGTGACACGGTACTTGAAATGATGTTCCCAATGGCTTCCCTGTTTCTGTAATGGAACTGTCACACATCTAGCTGGGTCACCATATGAACTGCGCTAACACAAGGCTGCTCTGAGGCCATGGAAGGACCCAAAATAAGAAGTGATATGATGTCACTTCACAGATGGGTAAACAAGAGATTTGGCATATTAATGGACTTGTCCATTTTGTCTAAAGGTATGATGCAAATTCATGGTTGATCCACTATTAGGCTCATGATTGGTTCCTAGATAGTCAATCAACCTTTGGTGTCTTATCCCTAACTGTACATAATAAATTATGAAAAGGAGTATTGTTTGAGTCCACACGAATTTGAATAAATAGGGTAAGGTGTATATATAAGGATTATCATACTCATTTTACAACAGATTGAGAAAACAAGCACTAAGTCTGGAAGTGTCTCTCCTTAGATTTCTGTAAAATCTTTCTCAGTAAAATGCAGCACCTCTAATTCTGAATTCACCTTATATTTTTCATACATCCCTGTACCTTCACAGAAGGTATTTCAAATACTGCAATTTTTCTGATTTCACAAGCAGGTAAATTAAAAAAAAAAAATCTCAACATTCATTACAATTTTATCTCATGCACCTAAATATCTTCCCATTTCTAAATGCATACGTCCTCGTATTTGTTATTGTTTAAAAGTATCTGAGTATGGAGACAAGCGAAAGTTGGAGAGTAAACGGTTTGGCTCTGTGGTTTCAATTAATTCTCACTTTGTGTATTGAAAATGAGTGCTATATATTTATTACACACTTGCATATTAGGTCCTAAAAGTAATAACCTTCTCTTGAATGAGCATCCAGTTCTGCAGTCGATTACCTGTGGAAACTGGCCTCGGTCGGGACCTGGCAGGAGTCCCAGAAATGTCTGTGCTAGCTGCAATCCGACATCCATCACTGACATATGTTCCCTGCTCTTGGAAGCTGGTGGTGTGCACAGTAGTTTCATCTGCAGACTTGGGTCGGTAATCAAACACACTGAGCCTTGCTTTAGGGTGTTGAGAGCCGGGCAAGAGACTGGTGTGGGAGGAGGAGATGGACTCGCTGTACACAGAGGTACAGGAATTGGAGAGTGAGCAAGAACCACCGTCGCTCAGGTCATAGAAGCCTGCAGAGTTAAAATAAATAGGAAGATATTTCTTATTTACAGCAACTAAACATGCTCTGTAGAAGAAAGTGCAGAGAATAAAATAAATCTTCGTATGCTATGTGCCACAGGCTTAAATTTATGATCATTTATTTGGGTAACTTTAGCAGAGGTATACTCTAATTCAACCACCTTTTATTGGGCTTCTGCATATTTACTTAGGCCCTGAGCCAGCTTGGCATGCACATGCATGCTTAGTTCTGAAGGTGGGATAGGGTGAAGTGCAGCACCATCACTCCCAGTTCTTCACTGGAGAAAATCTTTGGGGACTATTATGCAACTGGTGTAAAATAGGGCTGTCTTATGCTGTTGTAACTTGTGCTAGGTGCACACAAGCACAGCTTGGATGGGAAAATAGAGTAAAACCAGCCTGCGATCAGAGCTGCCAAGTCTATGATAGCTGGAATGTCTTAGGGCAGAGAATGGAGGCTATCCTTCCTCCTCAGGTCTTGCAATCATTGCCAATTAATTACGGAATTAAAAAAGGCTCTGTATAAATTCAAGATAGGAATTTTTATTATTCTTCTCTATATAAAGCAAACAGAAAAGGAAGCTCTTTCCTTTTGAACTGTATGTATGTGCCTAAGCGCACAACTCCTGAACTTAAACACTCAACAGAAACTTGCACTTTTTATACCCACTCTAAGTACCAGGCTGCAAATCCATATGCTGTAAAATAAAAAAATTCTTTCCTTGTCTCACTGAAGACTTAAGGCTTTTCAAAATTCTGATTAAAAAGAAGTATTCCCGTTGTCCCAGACTAGATAACAGAAACTGGTTTTAACAGACATCCTAGCTATAAAAGTTTGCAGTACAGCGTGCTCTGTGAATCAGACCAGAAACCTGAAACTCAATCTCTTTCTGTCCATGAGAGCTTTAGCCAGCAAACTGTTGGGGTGTTTTTTTCCCAGTCTTTTAATACAGCTGTTTGATTTTTATATAAATGATCAAACATTCATTTGGCCAGAGCACTGCAGTGGTAGTGATCTTTAAAGCCTTAGTGAGGTTCAGGACCCTTCTTGGATTGAAGCAGAGCATTGACATGGATGTTGGTCGTCTTCACTTCTAGTAAGTACTCTAGCCACTTAGCCAATGGTCATTCTGCACTGGACAAGGTAATTAATTAATAAATCTGTCTCCTCCTCCTTCCATTTGTGGCTAAAATGTCCATTTTAGAATTAAAAAAAAAATCCAGAAAAAATACTGTTTGAGTGAATAAGCACTTTCCAACTAAATCAACTTTGCAGGAAAATTCCCACCAGCTCTGTGAGTGTGCTCTGTGCCAGATGACTACTCTCCACCTCAGCCATGGGGCACTATTTCTGACCAAACAATACAGACAATTTTGCTCAGCAGTTGACACCCTCCAGTTCTCCTAGCACCACACCCCTGGGAATAAATGACTAAGTGCACATTACCTGAGCTGGGCCGGCTGTCACTATCCAAGTATTCACTGGAGGTCTTACTGACGTCCAATTTCAGCTCACTTATTCGCTGGTCTAGCTGATCCAGGTGGCTTTTCAAGCCGACATCCTGTCTCCTCAAACGAGACTAATTCACCAGTCGAGGGAAGAAGGAGGAAATGAAGAATAATCACAGTTAGAATCTCAGTGGCAATGCATGAATTCAGGCCATCTGTGCCGGACAGATTCTGCTCTCAAGAAGTGTTTTGCTTAGCTAGGGACTGTTGCAATTGGCTCTCTGTAACGAGACTGACATAACGGACAAGTACAAAACATTCTGTTTCTCAGTATATATTGTCTTCTGCCCAGTTGAACAAGTTCTCAAAACTTTTCATACCAAATATACTTATTTTAACCTTTGGGTTTTTGTTACACCTATGGCAGGAACTGTATCTCTAAAGAGGATGGTAATCTTTTAACTAATTAACATATTAATATATACACTGCCTCTGAGCAGAGGATGAGATAAACGTTATGGATTGTCTGCACGAACTCTAAGATGTCGCCTGATGAAAGGAAACCACTGCATGTAAAAGTATGTTATTGCCACACAAAGTAAAGGCAGCATACTCATTTCTGTAAAACCCTTGGCTGTGATGACTTGTCTTCATAGCTGAAAGGGTACATTGCGCTAATTGTGACATCTATTTTGCTGAAAGTTTTCCTTGCATGTCTCGTGGCTAGATATTTCCACACATTTTATGCAAGGAGAAGGTGGCATTTGAATACTGCTATGAAAATGACTGTATTTAAAATAAATGGTGTCTCAAGCTTGTGAACAATCCTTCAGAAGCCAGCAACAAGGTCCTCTGCCTTCTGCAATCACTGACCAGGCTGATCTGAGGTAACAGCTCCCGCAGTTGCTCCCCCAGTATTTATGCCGTCAGCTTGGTGAGGCAGATGGCCAGGCGTCAGGTACCAGCCAAAGAACCACAGTTGGTTTCTGTCACAAACTTCTCACACGGCACCAGGCAAATTATCTAGGCCCAGTCGCTATTTAGGCAGCTTCTAATCACACCTCACCATCCATCCAACAGTACTTTACAGAAAAGTGGTCTCTTGAAGTTGAGTGTAAAGTTGTGCTCATAGCCCTTGAGGAGCTGGGTTTCCAGCCAGTAATGGTGAGAAAAACATGACTAAGATTCTTCTTTATGTGTATGTTTCAGATTTAAAAATACACTTGGCAGTTCTAGCAGCATTTCCAACCCCTAATATGAAAAAAATACAATCTAGGTCCCTTGAACTAATTAAAGTATCTGTAAAATGAAATGACATGCAGAAAATCAAAATCAGTTACGTACATTATTTTCAACTCCACTTTCCTTGTGTTTGGATTATTTAGCTTTTAATATTTGCATTTTTACGTTTCTCCATAACTATAAATACTAAAAGCAAGGAAAGCTAAGATCCTAAAGTAATCGGTAAATGATTAGGAACTGGGATTCAAGGAAAAGAGAAAGAAGACAGATGTCCTGAGTCTCACAAGACAACTGTTACGGCTGGTGATGCTGCTGAGAAGAATAAAAAGGTATCTGTAGAATGCTTTTATGGAGAACTGGAGGAACATAAAAGACACATGAAATAAAGCCCCTTTTTGTTAGTGTCACACATCTAGAAAGGTTTAAGCTCAAGAGGCTCATTACTGCTTCCTAGGAAAACCCAGGGTGGTTTTCCCTCTTCCTGTTTCATATAAGCAAAAAGGAAGGGAAGAACTGGATAATAAAGGAGATTTGCTACCCCTTCCGAATGATGAATGCGTGATCTCCTCAGTACTTCTTTATTTCCTTTATGGTGAAAAAGCAAAAACATGCCGTGCCTCCTTCAATCCCACGTACTCAGGAAATCACAAAGTTTTGATTTCACGGCTGGAATTAATTGCTTAATGATTAATGTTTTGCCAGCCAATCCCTCAGTCTGTGGTTTCTGATTAATGACAGAGAGGCCACAAGGCTCTCAGGTATTCAAAGATTATTTATTATACCTCCAGGTTCTGTCTGCGCTTTCACAGCATTTTAACCAACATACATGATTTACATCATCGTTTTTAACCCTTTTATGGTGTCTCACACCATTGGGTTTTCATGTTTCCGGCAGACTTCGTAGCTTTGATCTTTCAGTTAACTCTTTCTGCACTCCAAGACAAGACGCTTTCCTCAAACCATTTGGATAAGGACGACTTTTCCAGTGTGTTTGCTTGAGGTTGTTATTGCTCTAATAACCACGCTAAGCAGCACCCAGAACAATAAACCCTAAACAAACATGAATTTTACATGAGATAAAACCTTGCAGGTGAAACCATCTGTTTGCTTCGGGCAATGCAGCTGTGAAGACTTCTGTACACTGCACAATGCAGGAACAGACTTTCCAAATCAACTTGTACTATCGATGGCCTGCAGTTTTTGGGAGCCAAATCTGGGATACCGTCATACCACTCGTTCTTCAGAGGGAAGAACACCCTCTGAAAAGCAGGTTCCTTTAAGTCAACACAAATTGGCACCCCAAATCAAGGCACCAAAAACCACTGGTCATACTTGACTATTCTTCTCAACTATTAATCTCTGCAGTTAAAGAGGGGGTTGACATTTATTGGTTTAGATTAGCACCTGATAATTTGATTAATCTAACTGTATTTTGGAATGGACAAAAGATAGCATCACTCTTATCTAGTTTTGCACATCTAAAATCTATTCACCCTTGAGTCTTTTTGTAACTGACGGTGCAAAGCAGCCAGTTTCAGAAGAAAATTAATCTCACCTATCCCAGACCCTTGTTATACAGTGAGGTGAATTCCTTCTGAAAGCACCTCTTTCTCTCAGTTGACAAAAACTTTAAGTTAGTTTAATATTTAAAAAAAAAAAAATCCCTGGCTAAAAGATGTTTTCTTCTACTTAAAACTATCTAAAGGGGAAAAAAAATCTGTGCAAAATGCAGGGTACCAGATGTTTGGGTTTTTTTTCCTCTTCAATATAATGTGTCCCTTCTCACATTTTTATAACATCATAAGCCACCTGAAAGCTTGCAAAACAAAATCATAGGATTCAAATCAAATCAACCAATTTTTGTAAATATGTTCTCTGAGGCAACAGCTGAGAAAATACTGGATGCTGCAGCCTTAGACATCCACCTACTTTGACAGTGAACGTGTCGTAGATTCCTTTCTTTGTATAGGCCTGAATATGCATCTCTTCTTTTTCCTCTATGTCACCATGACACAGTTTGGCCAAGAGACTAATTTAGCACCTTTGGGATCACTGACAGTAGATGGTGTCACTTAACTCTGCTTCTCTACTGCTACAGAGAGCTGATCCTGCCTGCACCGTAGTAACTTGCAGCTGCCAGAAGAGCCCCTGGCCACCAACAAGAGCCACTGGCTGGGGCAAAAAAGGACATGAGTGCTGGGGGCAGCAGAAAGCCTGCAGCCTTGCTGCCTACAGCAGACTGCTGGAAAGGCCAGCTGCTGGCTGTCGCTGGTACCTGTTCTTGGGGAAGAGATTGGGATGCTGGAGTGAGATCCACACGTGGTCCCTATGGCATTTGATGGCTCTGCTCCACCCATTCCCGCTAGTGGCACTTGACTCCTTAAGGGTACTGCCTCTGCTCTTCTGTTTCTCACCTTACCATTATAGAAGCCTGGCTTGACTCTTTATCTGCCTTGTTTCCATTGCTGAGATGCCTTGAGCCAGCGCCAGCTGATACAGCTTTCCCATTTTATGTTCCAAGGACCAAACTTTTTATGAATTAAACCATGACCACGCTAAAGCCCAGGGCTACAGCCCTACTTGAAACTTGGATCGAGATACACTGCAAGGCAAAGCTACATTTACATTGTTAATGAGTTTCTCAATCTGAAAGCTTATAGAGCAGCGATCACATACTCTATCGTCCATGGGCCAAGAACAACAACGATGAAGACATAACACTCCCCGAGCAATGCTATGCTTTGCCTTTTCTGTTGTTTTTAGTTTTAACTTAATTTCCTGTGATCATGAAGAGAATTTTCAAGGGTTTTGAGTGCAATACACCACTCATGAGTCACCAAGAAAGTTTTCGGCCTGTGGCCGCCTAGTTCCTAGGATCTGTTGACTACTTCTAACAGGACTGTGAAAAGCCTGTTTTCAATTGGGTTTACTTTGCTATTAAGCAGCTTTGAGTATGCACCTCTACTCAAATGTCTGCAATTTGCAGGGGAAAAAAACAATAAAGGTACCAGGTACGCCAGTCTGAAAAGCTTCCAGCAGCCACGGGTCAATCAGAAGAGCTTTGTATCACTACTTTAAGCATTTGCACAACTGCATTTTTGCTGAAGAACCTACCCCCGGATTTATGTAGTTCTGAGTCATCCCTCAAGCTTTATGAACACCTCCCTCCCAGACACCCCCAGAAGACACATTTCCCATAATTGCACTGGCACCTACTGGCGAAATCCATCCCTCTCCGGCAGTGTGCTGAGTTACTGTCATCCTCCCGACTCCTGAATTTCTAAGGGCAGCAATTAAAGGCCATTTTTTTTCTTCCATTTTAATAGCTAGTTTCTCCCACGTCCTTGGAAAGCCTTGTAAGGTGCCAGTAAAGTCCTGACAAGCTAATCTTCTGCTTTCATATTTTATTTGAAAAATATATAAACAAATGAGTAATTAAAGCACAACAGCTGACATGAAAAAAGAACAGTCACTATGATCAGAGGTCATTGGGTGTTTCTGTTAACCCAGTGGCCCCAGACAGGCAATAAATGCCTTCAATTCTTTCGTTTAGTTAAAAAAAAAAAAAAAAAGAAATAAAGTAGAGCCATTAGTTAAAATTATCAATGACAGGTAATCAAGTGGCTGGCAGTCCGCTTGTCCTGCATTTTTTACTTTAATCAAGATATGCCCGCTGCCGTGTTTTCACATGTGGTGGCTAGGTTTCCCTGAAGGTTAAAGCCAATTTTATTCTGAGATGCTGCTTGATAAAGCTGCCTACGGGGAGCGAATAACCATGCTATTTTCACACCTGATTGATAACTGACAGCCAAGCCTTGCACCAGTACAGGGAAGGAAAGGGCTCTGAATTAAGTCTGAGTTTACTGAAGTGTGTAATTGCCCATACTAGAGATTAAAGCCCTTTACCCTTTGATTGTTGTCTCACCGATGAAACTCGTTTCAGTCGCAATTCAGAACTTTTTTTTTTTTTCCCTTCACAAAAAACCCGTGCAAGCGGCCGGTGTAACACTTCAAATACAAGGCCTGGCATTCAGTTACTCTCCTCTTTTGATCACGCAGTCCGTGGCAAGAACAAAGTACTCCTGGCCCACGAACCCCTTCCTGGCGGATTGACCCCCACCGGCACGCAGCTGCGCCGGCGCACATAGGGGTGCGCACATAGGGGTGCGCACATAGGGGTGCGCACATAGGGGTGCGCACATAGGGGTGCGCACATAGGGGTGCGCACATAGGGGTGCGCACATAGGGGTGCGCACATAGGGGTGCGCACATAGGGGTGCGCACATAGGGGTGCGCACATAGGGGTGCGCACATAGGGGTGCGCACATAGGGGTGCGCACATAGGGGTGCGCACATAGGGGGTTAATCATCTCCTACTCCTCGGCTCCGATGAATGAGCAATGCCGGGTAACGGCTTCTCCTCCCGGCACGGAGCCCTCTACCAACACGACGCATTTCGGGTCGATGAACCCGCGCTCAGGTGAGCCCCGCCTGAGGAAACGAAGCGACCGTTACCACGGCTGCGACGGCGACGGGCGCGGTCGCCGCAGCTCGCCC